GATCCACTTGGATCAAAACGGTCACACTGGGTATGAAGCGCCGACCAGGGTTGCCACTGGAAAAAAATAAAACTTACCATCCAATTGAAAAAAATCTACCATATCTGGAAAAAATCTACCAATATCATTTTAGTTATTTCAATAAAAAACTTAAAGTTTTCTAATAAGGAACATTTTATTTAACTACGCTGTTTGAGATCATATAAGTTTTGTTTCATAAAGAATGCAGATATTCGGTTTTCGATCAATACAAACTTAAAGCTTAACAATTTATACATGTATGTAAAAAAAAGGAAGTGTGTGTAAAATTAACATTTTGAAAATTTACAAGAAATACGTATAAAAATACATGTACCTACATATGTGTGATTATTCACATTACCCAAGGCACATACAATTTTTGGAAATATGCTTTTTTTTCAAAATATTCCGTTTGTTTATATCTTGAAAATGCAATTGTGAATGTTGTTTCCAGAAACCCGCGATAAAGCATTCAATATAAAAGCTTGAAAAATCGTTTGCTTCACTTAAAAACAAATTCATCATTAAGGGCCTTTGGTAACTTTAACTAAAGTATGTACGTATGCACTTATGTATGTATTTACTTGAATGCTTCATTTGCACACCACACATAGTGTGGTTCGATTTTTTCAGCAATCAATTCTTTTGATAGCATTATTGTATCAACAGTACTTATATTTAGTTGGTTTCTAATCCTAGTTTTTATGAGGTTTAAGTCGGAAAACTTCCTTTCTGCAGCAGCAGAACTATGTGGTAGTGACAAAATATTAAATACGAAACTCGTGAGATTTTTAAAACATTGTTCTCCCAACCCATTTTTTTGCAATGAGACTTTTTCCCAAAAATCTATAATATCCATATCAGGCTGAAGGCCGATGTTGCTTAGCCTCAACATTTTCCATTCTGTATTAACATCTTCCGAGTTTCCTTCAACCAAATACGGAAATGTTGAAAGTAAAGGCAACAACGAAAGTTCATCATTTGAAATAACTTCAGTTGGAGTTATTATAGACAGATATTGCAAATCTTTTCTGGAAAAATCAAATCGCTTTTTAAATTGAACAATAAGCTCAACATAAAACTTTAAAATATATTCTTTAACTTCAATCACTTCGGATTGACAAAGACCGGACTTTTTCAGAAAGGTTTCTGTATTATTACCAATAAAGATTTGATCTATATTCAAAACATGTCCTGCTGCGCCTTGCTTATGTTTTCAAACGTAATTTTTTCGTCGTTATAATTATTTAGTTTTTCAAAATCAGTTAAAATTGCATTTACATCTAAGTTTTTTACAACACTGTTTTTCATAAAATTAGATAAAGTAAGTTTAATGGTCATATTCACTCTTGAATAAAGGTAAGGTAGACGAATTTTTTCTGATTGGAAATCTTTGTTTAAATCATTAATTATTTTAAGAACATATGAAAGGAATAAGAAGTAAACCCTTAAAGAGGGATTCCCCATTTTTTTCGCCAATTTAGCCGCATTAATTCCATTCACTTCAATTACGTTGGAAATAAAATATAATTGCAAGGCATCCCATTGCTCAATAATTCGGTTAATCACTCCTTCTAATGCAAGCCATCGCGTGGTTGAGACGCCTAATATTTTGTGCGGCTCAACCTGACAATATTCTTGAAATTCTTTGAAATCGTATATTCGTTTGGCACTATGCGCAAAGAAAGTATAAATGCTTCGACATAATTTGTCTATTTCAATTGGTAGCTTTTTGCATGCATAGGCAGAACACAGATGCAAAGAATGACACGAGCATTTTATGTAAAATATATCCCCATCTTTCATAAATTTCGCCTTTAGGCCACCCAGTTCCCCTGCCATAACATTAGCTCCGTCAGTTGCTAGCCCTATTACATTCTTTAATGGGATGTTAGTTGCAGAAAAAAAATCATTGATGTAATTATACAACGAATCGGCATCCGTTTTAGAAACTTCGATGAGACTTAGAAACCTGTCTCGCACTTTATGAGCTAACTTGTCATAATATCTCACAACAATAACTAGCGATTTTTTACTGCTGACGTCCGTCGTTTCGTCGATGATACAAGAAAATTTTGTTGTTTGAAGAACGGACACAATGTTTTCTTTTGCCTTAGCTCCCAAGACATCAGTCAACATCTTTGATTTTGTTCTGCCGCATTTAAGAGCCGCTGCTATTTTAGAATCCGGACAGCACTCACTTAGCAATTGAGGCAAAAAGTCCATTAACAAAAAAGATAAATTGTGCTGTATGCAAAACATAGTCAGATTTAGTTCGGCATGGTAAACTTTCTTTTTAAAGCTGGCCTGATCCGTTTTTAAACATTGTTTAATTTGTATTTGATTTTTTTTCTTCGAAACATTACGCAAATGCTTTTTTAAAGAAGCGTGATTTTTGAGGTGACTGTAGTGGCTTACCAAATTAGTATCGCAGG